CATGGAAGGGAGGAAAGGTGAGAGAAGAGAGGAGGAAGAAGGGAAGGAAGAGAAATGAGAGAGAAGGGGGAGGAGGGAGGAGAGGGAGTCACAGGCCAGTTGATTGACATGCCATGTACAGGAAAAACAGTAGTATTTATTTGATTATGGTTCTCAGAGCATTAGTTAGAAGGAAGTCAGGTCATCGCTACGGTAGGAAGATGCCTGTATAGGACGCTCTGGTGGCCCTACCTAGATATAAGGAGCTCTCACCAACTGGGACAGCAGGAGTCTAGCAGGGGAAGACCAATTGTCTTTATGACAGATAAAGGAAAGTATGGCTGAAAGATGTCCCTAGCTTCTCAGGCCAGCCCTCTGGTAGGGAAAGCCTCCTGACTTCGAAGGTCACATAATTTCCATTTGCTGACTAGGAAAAGCCCACCAACTGCAGAAGCAATTTGTCATTCCTCTGGAGAAGCTAAAGAGCCAGGCTAGTATTGCCAACCAGGCAGAAGGCCAACTTATTTCAGAACAGGTGTAGACAGAAGGGGTACCTGCATTCTGAGCCAGTATCTTCCTTAGATAAATGTTTCAATAAAAAAAAAAACAATCAAACACTTCTAATGAAAATACTTGCTTAAGACTTCAAAGTCCTTCACCATACAACCATTAAGAGATAACTGTGGAATGAAAAATGTTTAAGGCTGGTTATGATTCTATCTGGCTTTCTTCTCCATAAAGGAACTTCCATATGACTCCTGTAGAACATTACACTTAAGAACTGCATTTCAATGGACCTACCATGATATGAGTTGCAAAATGTCTCTTAAAAGCTGATTGAACTGACTTGCAGAATAAGGTTATTTCCCCAGCTACAAAATGGAGATAATAATGTTCTGCACAATCCACTTCACTGGTTTGTTATGACAATCAAATACAATAATGCAATATAATAGTTTGTAAATTATAAAGCACTTTATGAAATTAACTCCAATTTATCCCTTCTTTGTAACCTAGTTATTTGCACATTGTCTCCCCCATTAATCCGGGAAGTGCTATTTTGTTTTTGCTTTTCCTTTGTTTCTCTAGCATTTAGCACAGTCCTTGACACATTAGACACTGTTGACTTGACTTTATCTGACCCGTGAGGCAGTAGCACATGTTACTAAACAAAATTACCTAATACATTTACCAAATTGTTTAAGCACAGATTTTAAAAAGGTTGCTAAACAAAGCCTTATTGGAGATCTCTTAAGACAGACACTGTTAGAAGACAATTCAGGACGATAGGCTCCCTGTGTTTGCTCTTTGGAGAGATGAGGATTTTTCAGTTTGACAGCATCTTGTCTTCTTTGCTTCCTTCTACCTCTAAAGAGGGACAATTATTCCTCTGGGTGCTTGATGCAGGGTTTAACTAAAATTAATATGCAGGAGATTGAGTAAAGGTACATATTGCTAGGCTAATCTTTTACTTATTTCCTTAATTGGATTTTAATTGTTCTCAAGTCTTTAAATGGCTAGTCTTCAGATACAAAAGCAATTAATTTAATCTCATTTTGTTTTCCTGACCCAGCATCTAACTTTATTGAACATGGAAAAGAAGAATTGGAAAATGTACATATAATTGACATAGTAATGCCAGGGGCGGGGGTAGGATTAAAATGTAGATGGTATTTTAAAGAATATTATTATCACTAAACAGTGATTTTTCCTCAAGAATTCTAAGTCATTAATAAATGGGGGGGGGAAAACCCAGTAAACTCTTGAAAAAATTCCTAAAATAATCATATACTAAAATGCTGTTGGCTTAATTAACGGGGAAAGAAAATTTTAGAGTCTCAAAGATGAAAGAATGAAAACAGTATCACTACTAATTGTGAGAGCTCTAGGCCCGGAGGTAGGAAGGGCAGAGTTCAAATTGATCTTCATACATAGCTGTATAACTTTGGACAAGTCATTTAATTTCTGTCTGCCTCAGTTTCCTCAACTGTAAAATGGCAATAATAATAGGACCTACTTCTCAGGTTGTTTTGAGATTTAAATAAGATAATACATGTAAAGCAATCAGTACAGTGCCTGGCACATAGTCGCTGCTTAATAAATGATTATTTCCTTCCTTGTTAAAGTCCACACACAGAAGCACTGCTATATTACCTAGACAGAGTCCATGGCACAATGTGTGTGTGTAAAATATATGTGTGGGGGGGGTATGTGTATATGTATATATGTATATACATATACACACACACACACACATGTTATTTTGCAGTTGAGAAATAAAACACAGAAATTCCTTGTCTTTAAAAATTAAATAAGATATTCTAAAATTTAGAATGATCAGATGTTCTAAATTCTGGGTGACAGTTCATGATTCCAAGCTTTAAGCTAACCTGTCTCTTGCCTCCCCAACTTCAAAGAATGTAGATGGAAAAGACATTTTTACTTTTTAGTTTTAGAGAAATTTTTTGTTTGTTTGTTTGTTTTTAACAAAGAAGGGTTAGGGTAGAATACAGTTTAGGTTTTCCAAATCTTTGGCAGAATTTTTCTAGTCTTATCCATTGGAGCCATGGAAGTATTTTAAACTCTCAGGGGGAGAAGGTCTCAATGCAATCCTGCATGATTATGTCTAATCCCCATGGACAGCTGCCAACAAACCTCATACTGACAATCTGATCCTCCTGAGTTGTCAATCTCTGTGTGCAACTCAATCCGCTTGCAGTGGGGTTGCACATGTTCCTTCTTTTTTGTCTTTGAGGCATCTGGGAATCTTTGAGATTATCTGGTCCAAAATCCTCCCTTCACAGATGAGGGAATGAAGGCTCCCAGGTAGAGGTTAAGGAATTCACCCTAGCTCACACAGCCAGCTAGATACAGGACATGAACTCAGTTTTCCGTATTCCCAGACCAGTACTTATTCTACTAAAATGAGAACAGTGACTGTACCATAGTTCCTCCTCAGTGTTTCAATATGCAAATGAATGTGAACAAGGCAAATTATGGTACCTTTGAAATAATTGAAAACATTTATCTTCCCAAGAGTAGTAAAAAAGCGATAAATGCTTTCCAATAAATGAATGCAGCAGCTAAGCACTAAGGAAAAGTGTTCTGGCTTAAGATTCTTTTGCAGTTACATAGCGTTGTTATTCTGCTGTTAATGTGAATTTTTGGAGGCACCTCAAGAGAAACAGAAAAGGAAGTGCAAAAAAGGAGACAGACCAGGTTAGTACTGAAGGAGGAAGTGCCAGAACACTTCCTTTTAAATGCAAAGTACACTGACTATGGTCATGCAACTGTTCCTATGTCTTCAAAACCTTGCATACCTATGACCACAGCAAAGCTAATGCACGCAGGCAAAAGCAAACAGAAGAAGGACTCTGCTACCAAATAAATTAGAATACAAAGACATGAGACACCAGTAGAATCATCAACAGACAAAGAAAAGAAATGCTCTGTAATCTCCCCTGTCGTAAAGTGCCCACAGCTGGCCAAGCCCAAATGCCTTTGAGAAGGGAGATCAGGAAAACCAGCCAAAGCTTTCGGGGGTATGCAATGTCAAATTCTTTTGACCTCAGATGGAAGTAGCTTTAAGAGGCTTTAATGAATCTTCCATATGACACAATCTGATAGTCCCAGACAATGGGTAGCCTCAGCATTGAAGAAGGACTCTATTTGACCCTGCTTTCTTCAGAATTCAACTCGAACCTAGCTTACAGATCCCAGGTTCTCAAATGTTCACTAAGCTACAGACAAAATTCTGTAAAAAGAACTGGGAATATCTTCTATACTATCTTCTACGAGATTTCAAATCTCATATGTCAACCTTCCCTGATAAGATAAACATAAAAGTTTTGGAGAGAGGCCATGATTATCCAAACCTAATCTCAAAGACTTAAATTGAAAAAAAAAATAGCTATGTACTTAAGGGATAGATATCATTGAATTTTTAAAAAATTGTATTATAGAAATAGAAAGCAAACTTTATTCCATATCAGCAGAAAATAGCCAAGCAAACTGAAAAAGTTTTTATAAGCATATCTGTAGTTACAGTTTACTCATGACAAATCAGGAGGTTTGAAAATAAAAACAATAAATACGAAATTGATATATTACCTCTCAATACTAAGACTTGTGAATAATGTCAAACGGTGAAGAAATACACTTTTACTCCTTAGAAAACAGTTTATAAAGGCCTTCTCAAAAAGATGACTAAAATAAAAAACTATTTAGGATAATTATCTAGAAGTAAATATCTAGAACCACTGAACTAAATTGTTGTCATAGTTTAGTTGTCTTAGTCGTGTTCAAATCTCCATGAACCCATTTGGAGTTTCCTTGGCAAAAATACTGGAATGGTTTGCCATTTCCTTTTCCAGTTCATTTTTCAGATGGGGAAACAAAGGCAAATGGGTTAAGTGACCTGTCTAGGGTCACACAGCTACTATGTGTCTGATTTGAACTCAGATCCTCCTGACTCCAGGACTATCACTGTATTCACTGCACTATCTAGCTGCCCACAAGACTAAATGCTACATATTAATATTGCACTGGAATATAAAAGTAATTCATATATGCATTGCCATGTATAATAAAAACCCAAATCAAGGGCATGCATTCTGAATTTAGTTTACCACATTGATTGTCTGACAGAATGGTAATTCCATTTTGAAGGACCAGGAGCAGGAAAACTTTGATTTAAGCACAATTTAAAACTGCTATCTCTTTTATGGCCTTTTGAAGATCCTAGATCATAAATTTAGGGCTGCAGGGGACCTCAAATACCACTGAGTATCTGAGTACCCCTCTCATTCAACAGACAAGAAAAATGAGACACATAAGTATCTAAAGCTGCATTTGAACTCAGATCTTCCTGACTCTAATTCCAGTGTTTTATCATTGTGCCACCTATTGGCTTTGAGCAGTAACCAAGAAAGTTTCATTTCCATGAAAAATTGCTTGGTTTTGAGATGCCAGAACACGAAAGAAATGATAAAAGAAGGAAAGAAAAGGAATTACACACTCACCCTGGTTTTGGCATCGATCTGACCTCCACGATCCAGTAAGAGCTTCACCATATTTGTGTTTCCCCTTTTGGAAGCCACATGCAGAGGGGTGATTCCATTCTACACAATGGAAAAACCAAATAAGAGCATGTTGGGTTGGACAAGGGCAAGAGAGTGATGGCTTTGGATGGCTAAGAAGCACACAAACCACAAAGCTCCATAGTTAGAGGGTATGGGAAATGAAAAGGAACCATTGATTTTCTGAATAGAAGTTAGCCAAGAAAAAGAATTTACCAATGAGATGCATTGGTGGAATAAACAAATGGCATACCACGTTCATCTAGGGAACATTCTTGCACTATAGGAAGCTAGGCATTCAGAAATGCTAACTGGACTCAAATTCTAGATAAGCATCCATTTTCCTTCTTATAGTACTTATTTCCCTAGTAGTTCTGGGATCCCAAGGCTATTTTTTTTAAAAAAACATGCACATATACTTGAAAACTAGCTTCCATGGGAAAATGTGATCCTTTAAAAGACATTTTTCAAAACAACTCAGTACAAAATGCAATTTAATTTGAAAATAAAATCAAACAAATCTAGATTCCAATGAGAAGAAATCTGAGTTCATACAGGGCATTTCTGCCAAAAGCATTTATGAATTCTGCTGGCTACCATCTATAAAAATATTAAAACATTATTTCTACATTTGCTTTCCCATAAGTCTATTCGCTCATTAATTTTATCCTGAAATTGCAGTTTTGTTCAAATAGACCTTTTTTATCACTGAAAAATATTCTAGACCATTAAAACAAAAATGGGAAAAAAATGTGTGTACCTAAAATCTACTGCCTATGCTGTATATGTATTATGTATCAATTTCAATGATACATGTGAAATTTATCACTAGAGTTCCTTAAAATTAAATGCTTTATGTGGAAGAGGATGGAATATATATCATCCTCAAATTGCATTTATTACAAGTTAATTATGTACATGGCCTGTACTCTATAGTTGTCTGTGGCTGGGATGAGTGGTGTGAATCTTTAAAGACCATACTGAATATTGAATCACTGCCTAATAGCAGGAGGAAAAGAAATGATACCTTTGAATAAACCAGCAATATTCTGTTTGCTTGGATTTTATTTATTTCCCCATTAGCTCCTACCCAGAAATAGAAGAATTCCAACACATACCCTGGCTGTGAAGTCCACAGCAGCTCCTCGGTTAAGAAGAAGTGTTGCCACATTAACATTTCCATAGTGTGCAGCTATGTGCAATGGGGTAAAACCACTCTGCAGAAAACAAATGGAATAGAGGTCAGTAAAGTAATGCAGCATCCTAAGGAGAATATAGTGAATGGTAAGCTTTGATCAGAGTACCCTTTGGCTGTAATCTACTTAATATATTTGTGAGAGTTCAGATGAAAGAAGGCACAAAATAGTCTACTGTACTACTTGACAGTCTGTAATATCCCAATAGATTCTTAGTTACTTGTGAAGTCTTTTCCTATGGAACATTATTTCTTCTTTTGGCTTTAATGATGATAGAAGGGTTTTATTTTCCCCAATGATGTGATGTAAATAGTGTGTGATTTGGAGATGACAATATTTAGCTAAAATACCAAAGTGAATGGAATGAATAAAAAACAATGAATGGAAAATAACAAGCAATTTCCTCAAATGAAAAACTCAATAATTTTTGTTACCATGCCTGAATGGCAATTATCAACAATCTATTTGGAACAAAAAAGACATCTTGAATAAATTCTTATGAAGGAATTTCTATGATTTCTATGAAGGAAGGATGGACGTTCCATTTTCTACTGATTTTCCATTTATCATGGACCTATGTCCTTTTCCAAGAAGAGCTCTACACTCTGTCTTTAATTAGGCTCCTACTGAATAATGCCAAAACAAGAAGAAACTTCAGCCAAATGAGTTATTCAGGATGATGGTTAAATAAACAAGCAATTAAAAAAAAAACTAAACAAATAAGCATTAAAAAAGGCTCTTTCAGTGAATCCATTTTCAAAAAAATGAATTCTGCCAAACTAATTACTGGAGCAACATAATCTTTAGAGAACAAACTTTTTGAAAGTAAAAGCATTGTGTATAGGATAGAAAGAATTGGAGACCGTGTACACGTGCACGTGTGTGTGTGCGTGCTCTCTTTTGGCCATATTCAAAATAGAAATTATGCTATTTCCACATCACGAAAAAACATTAAATATTGTTTAATTCAAGATTATGCCAACATAATTATTTTGACTTAATTCTTTCACTTGCCTTATGGAAATATTACAGACTACTCAACATAATCACTAGCCAAATTTAGCTGTTCAGATATTATTTCCTATTGTGCCATTTGCTTGAATAAAAACTTGAATAGGTAAAATATCCGAATAAGACTCTAAAGCTCAAGCAGAGTTCTTTCCTGTACATATTTTCAATACATAATTTCAGTGTTCTAATTTATAAGAGATTTATTTGAATATGAATAGAGCCCACTTTGGGATTTGAATAGGTGATTAAATAAATCAGTCTGTAAACATCAACTAAGGACACATTTTAAGAGACATTCTTTTGCATCAACAAAATAATTTGCAAGGAAATTTAGAAGTTCATAAAACCAAGGCCGCATTTTAGGAACCAGCAGAAACTGGGTAAAAACATTCTGAAGTGGTATATGCAAGTTTCATAATGTCTAACATTAACCCCAACCCCTCAAAAAATCCTTATATCAGGCTATTTAACCTGATCAATGTTTCTAGTTTGGGAAATACATAATTGACAGAATTTTTTTTTCAGTTTTCATCCAGAAACTTAATGTCACACAAACATAATTCAATATGTGAATTATTATTTACCTGACTTTGAATCAATATTCATTGAATACTGCTGAGTCATTTAGAAATCATCGGCAATGTACTGAAGTTTTCTGCTTCATTTGCAGAAACACAACACAAAACTACACTTTTTAGCCAATATGATAATCTGTAAGAATGCATGATTTGGATTCCTGAAGAAGGAGTGGGGGAAAACACTTACATAGTGCTATTATGTGCTTGACACTGTATTAAACATTTTACAAATATCTTTACAGAACAAGGAAAATCATGCAGGGAATATGAATTGACATCCCTTTCTAATCAGACAAAAGCTGTACCATCTTACTATGCTTTATTTTTTCAAGGATATTTTTTAGAATATATATGAGCATGATAAATTGTGGCTACTGATTTAAAAGAGTTACATCAGCTCTCAAACATTTTGAAATTTAAAGATCATTAGTCAATGATTATGAAGATGTCATAAATGTTCATTTGTACCAACTTCCTGGTTTTTCAGCCTTTTTAATATGGTTAGAGAAATATGGCTTCTCTCCCCACCATCCCCCCAACCCAAAATTTGGTCTAGGATATTGAGATTCATAGGATTACAAGATTCAGATCTGAAATGGGCATTAGAGATTATATAATTCAGATCCTTCATTTTACAGGTTAGGAAACTGAGGCCCAGTGAGAGAATGTAACTTGACCCAGGGTCAATGGTAGTAAAAAGCAGAGCTATAACTTGAATCCAAGGCATCTGATTCCAAATAAAGTGTTTTTTCTTATTACACAAGCCAATGGGAAAACTCTTTGAAAAGAAAACTGATTTATGTAAATACAATATTTTTACTAACTATGAAATGTTTAAATATCCTCAAGTTCATAATTCAAAGCCTAAGAAGCAAGACCTATGAATTAGATAGAAAGGTGTGCCATTCACAAAACATGGGTTCTCTACACCAAAAAAACATTGATTAGTCATAATATTTTTATTTCCATAGTATAGAAGGCAGCCAAAAAATATTTTGAACAAAATGTTTGAGTCAGTGACTCTTGCACAGACATGGCCAAATAAGCTAGCAAGGAATAAAAATTTGACCATTGGGTTTCTGAACTGATTATCCCTGCTGACTGTAAAGGGTTAGTTTGGTACAAGGAAGAATAGATTAAGCCATTAGATGTGTTTTAGGACTTGAGAATATAAAGCTAAATGATCATGATCAAGTAGAATGAATAGGCAAGTTCATTATATGCCCAAATTTACCACTGATATACAATACAGTTTGATGAAAAGGCTACCAAAAAAAGGAACAGAAAGGTATGATACAGCAACTCCGTAAGTTTTACTTTGTTGAGTTGTTTGCATAAAAATCATCAGTAATAATGAGCAGAGGTCATACCTCTCCTTCAGTGGAAATAGAAGAGCACTATTTGGGACACACCTTATTAAATCTGTTCTCAGTATTTTTTATATTACTGTGAAAAGAGTATATGTGTATATTTACACACATACATAGGTGAGCAATATAATATGTATGTCAGAATATATATGTATTCATGTGTACACATATGCACATTTTGAGTATTGCATACATACATACTACGTGTAGATATAGATATTTGTATATATATAATATTGTGCATATATCTATCTATATCAATCTCTATATCAAAATAGAAATTGTGTGTGTGTGTGTGTGTGTGTGTGTGTGTGTGTGAGACAGAGTGTGTGTACCACAGGCAAGTCATTTAACTTCTCAGTATTCTTGACAACTCTAACACTATGAGTTATAGAGAAGATATCAATCTTTATGGTAGTGGGAGTTTCCATCTGGGGCTGGAGCTTTAAATACAGGTCTCATTCCTATCCCTTATCACATTTTTTTTCAATTATAGGAAAGTCTAAAAAATCAGTTTCCTAAAATGGGTCTTCTAATTATTAGTATGAATTAGTGAGCATTTACTGTAGATGGACAAGGATGAAAACAATATGCATCTTTGTATATTCACAATACTGTACCTCAGTAGTCCTATTCACCATCATCTGAAGCAATGTTGTTTGGGAAAAAGAGGGAAGATGTTACACAAAGATTAAGAAGACAATCATTTTACTCATTGCAATCAGGTACATTGTTTTGGCTAGACTAAACACATGCACTGTCACTAAACACATCCAATCTTATTCATTAAAGAAAAAAAAATGAATCTTATTCCTGCTCTTTCCTGTCCCTAATCAAAATAGGTAGATTTTCAAAGAGCGGAATTTTCTGGAGAAATGTCTCATGTTAATTTTCTTTCTACTTTCTAGAGAAGGCTTTTAAAAATTTGCTTTATCACTCTCTTTTCATGACCAAAATTGATTTTCCATTATCACTGAACTCAGTAGATATAATTTCATAAAGGATACCTGGAAACGGAAGCCTCGCTTTTTTGCAAGCGTCCTGAGCTTTTACCTTGGATTGAACATCAGCGTTGTGGTCATTCTGGAGCAGGAGAGCTGCAGATTTGGTGTCGTCTTTCCTAGCAGCGATATGCAGGGCAGGCAGGCGCACTTTCCCCTTTGTATCATTCTCCAGGAGGATTGCCACAGCTTGGTTGTGTCCCTGTTGCAATGCCACAGCCAGGGGAGTGAAGCCATCCTGGAAGATGAAAAGATCAAGAAGGTTTTGCCAAACTGTGGATGTTTAGCATATAAGTGTCCATGAACCTTACTGAAACTTTATGTCTAGCACTCAGCATTCAGCAGCACTTAATAAAAGCTTATTGAACGGATGAATTATTCAACTCAAAAACATACCTTTTATATTTTTTTTCTCAAACAGTGAAGAGATAATCAGTGCAAACACCCAGAAATGGGAGATTGAGTGTTGCACATGAGGAACAGCAAATAGGTCAACATGATGACCATAGAGTCCATGGCAGGAATAAAAAGATAGGAAGGAAGAAAGCTGTAAAGAGTTCTAAATGACAAACAAAGGAGTTTATATTTGACCCTGCTTCATGAGCAAGAAACCATGGAAACTAAAGATATTTCTGTAAAGTTTAGCCTTGTTAACAAGTAAAATTTGAAGCAAAGTAAATCTGACACATTTAAGGATATGAACAATAACTATAGTCCTATACAATATTTGACATAATTCACTTCAACAAACATTTAAATATTTAGCAAGCACAAGGTTTTCAGGGTACAAAGACAAATCCTTTTATACAGGTAACCAAGAAAGAATGTGATAAGTATGTAGGAAAGTAGATCCATGGAAAGTGCTATTAGAAATTTTGAGGAAGACATTGCTTTCAGCTAGAGGAAGGAGGAAGATGAGGAAAAACCCCAGGGCAGAAATGGGATCTAAGATTTGCCTTGAAAGACTACAGAATCATCAGCAGAATGAATTGAGGGGTGCTGACTTCAGGGAAAGTACCCTGCACCCAACCTCTGCTTCTTCATATCCCTGGCTTCCACCAAAAATCAGCATCTTCATGAAGCTTTTCCTGGTCCTTCCAGCTGCTAGTACCCTCCCTCTGTGATTATCCTCCATTTGCTTTGTATATATCTCACATAAATGACAGAAGAGTTTATATTTCTGTATATCTTACAGGGCAGATAGGTGGCATGATGGATAGATCACTGGGATTTGAGTCAGGAAGACTTAACTTCATGAATTCAAATCCAGCCTTAGACACCTACTAGCTGTGTGATTCTGGGCAAGTCACTAAACCATGTTTGCCTCAGTTTCCCCATCTATAAAAATGAGCTGGAGAAGGAAATGACAAACTGCTCCAGTATCTTTGCCAAGAAAATCTGAAATGGGATACAGGGTTGGGCATGACTGAAACAACTGAATGACAATAACAATATATCACATTGCATAGTTATTTCCACCATTTCTCCCCCATCAGGATATGGATTCCTTGAAAGCAAAAAGTATTTTTTTTCAAAGACTTTCTTCATATCCCCAGTCTTTAATATAGTACCTGGCATGTATTAAGTGTAAAAGCTTGCTGGTGTTTTGACTTACTGGAATATGGTGTGAGGAAAGGCATGAAAATGTGAGGTGGGAAGAGAATAAAAGGTAGACAGTAGTTCCGTTTAATGGTTATGTAGAATTAATGAAAGGGATTAGTTATGTGATAAATCTGAAAAGATAGGTTGGAGCCAGTCTATAAAAAAGTGATGAGTATAAGGATCAGTAGTTTATACTTTATTTGATAAACGATTGTTGAGGGCCGATCTTAAGAGTCTGATAAGGGTTTAAGATCCAAGGCAGAGTTTGACCTCTGCTCAGGCTTTCACCCCAAAGGGCTCAAGGATTAAGTGGTATGGCTCCCCAAATTCCTTCCTGATAAAGAGGTCTCTGAGACATCCCTTCTCTCTCTTTGAACCTTAGGTTTACATATTTACTCCTCTATGCAGGTGGCACCTAGGCGCCTGGGAAAACCTTGGAATCTACAGCCCAATCTAGGAACCCTGATAAGGAGGAAATTCATGATTGTTACATCCTCAGCAGATGTTCTGGGGAGTATCTCACGGGGGGGACTCTTTGAAGTTAGGCTAGATTTTCCCTATATATTCTGTGCCCTCAGATGAATAAACTGAGTCAGTAATTCTACTCCACCTGGCCCATGTCATAAGTTATTTCACTCCTCTCCGTTCGGTGTACAATCTGGTTGCGGGCAACAAACGTTGAAGAAACATTGGAAATTTTTAAGCAGAGAAGTTGTGTGCTCTGAAATTTTCTCTGACTCACTCCTCGTATACCCATTGTTTGTCTTCACTATAATCTCTAGTCCATCCATCTCTCCCCATTCTAGTTTCAACTTCCTCCCTGCCAATCCTATAGTTCACCAGTTCAACTATGTAATCAATCAATTAGCATTTATTTAGTGCCTAGTATGTACCAGGCACTGGAGACACTTAGAAAAGTAAAAGCAACCCCTACCCTCATGGAGCTTAAATTATAATGGCTGATACAACATTTATATAACTAGCTATATACAGAATAGATGGAAGATAGAGCCTCAGAAGGGAAGGAAATTGAACCTGGGGAAGAAGGGAAAAGGAAAGGTCTCTAGCAGAAAAGGGCCAACTAGATCTATTATAAACTTATGTTATCTAATTTCACACTGCTGTGTGCCAGTCCTCTAACACACAACCAAAAGCAACAATTCTAAATCTTCTGTTCCCTTCTCAAGCCTCCTAAATGACCCTGTTTCCCCTCCTCAGCACAGAATTATACCCCCTAGTTTCCCAAGAAAATCTATTATCTCAAGTTATGTCATCTTCCATTCTTCCCTTTGCTCCAGTCTCTGATGGCCTTTACCCTTATCAAGGTCAACACTTCTATTGCCCCCGATTTCTTCCTTTCCTGTCCCTTCTGGTTGCTTGTTCTCTTAATCATGCCTTTTTCCATCTTCAAGCACTTCTTATAGACCGGATCTTTCCTTTCTACCTAAAAGATGTATCTAGGTTTCCCAGCAACTTAAAAAACACTCCATCTCTTCAAAGTATAATCATTTATTTCTTCTCCCTTTGACAGCAGCCACACTCCTAGAAAAATGTCTCTACTCAATGTATCTATTATTACTTCACCTACCATTCACTTTTAACTCTTTGCAATCTGATCTCCAACTTCACCAATCAATTGAAATTTCTCCTTCCAAGGTTACCAAACCTTTTTTTCTCAAACACCATTCTACTTGAACTCTAAAATTTTTGATATTCAAATCATTCCCTCCACCTCAATACCCTCCCCACTCTACTTTTTGCTATCAATAACACTGCTCTTTATTGTTCCTCCTTCAAAATGTCTAACTACTTTAACCCCTTCTTTTGTGTTCTCTTTCCCCCTTTTTTTCCTCTATCTCTTTTCTTCTCTCTCCTGCCTGTCAAGTGTGGTCACCTTATAAGGCCCTATCCTACATCTTTCTTTCTCTACACTTTCTCTCATGGCAATATTCTCAGTTTATACGGGTTCGATGTTCACTTCTCTTCATATGACTCTCAAATCCATCCTTAATATCTGTTGTGGACCTTAGTCCTGAATAACCAACTATATGGGGGACATTTCCACGTAGATGAGTCATCATCAAACTCGTCATATCCAAAGTAAAATTTACTAGGTTATCCCAAAGATTCATCCTTCCTTCAAACTTCTCCATTTGTGGTAAGGTACCTTCATCCTCCCAATCATTTAGATTCATACAAGCACGGTCATCCTGGACTCTTCTCTCTCCCCTACCTGCCAGATTTACTCAACTGTTAAGCCTTGTTGATTCTGCCTTCACAACATCTCTCAATCTGTCCCAGCCTTTCCACTCCACAACCACTAACCTATTTAATGGAATCAACTCTAGGACTATCTGGCAAAGTTCCCTAATTGGCTTCCCTTAGAGTATCTTCCCTCTTCCACCCATAGGAAAATCTTAGTGTAACATCTAAGACACACGTCACTGACTCCTCTGCTCAAAAATCTTCAGGGGTACCCTGTGACTCAACGTTAAAATATGAAATCCTAAGTCTAGTATCTAAAACTCTTCACAATCTAGCTCCAAATTACTTTTGTAGATTTATTTCACATCTTACTCCTTCATGATGGTTAACATGCATATAGATTTTAAGGTGTGGAAAGTACATGTATATTCTAATTCCGATCTCACAACCCAGCGAGGGTTGTTAGGATAGCTATCACTATCTTCATTTTACAGACAATGAAAATGAGCCTCAGAAAGGTTAAGTGATTTCCCAATGGTTACACAGCATAGCAAGGATCACATACTTGATGTTCTAACCAACTTGGCTTGCTATCTGGTCCCCAAACTCACTCTTTTCTTGTCTCCGTTAGTTTACATAGTTTATTCTCCTTGCTAGAACATGTACACTTTCATACTTCTTTTGTTTTTCAGTTGTGTCCAACTCCTCATGGCCCCATTTGGAGTTTTTTTGGCAAAGAAATTGGAGTGGTATGTCATTTCTTTCTCCAGCTCGTTTGACAGATGAGGAAACTGAGGCAAACAGGATTAAATGACTTACTGTCATCAGTGAAGGTACTGTGCTCCGTGAGCAAAGCAGAATTGAAGTAGCCCAAAAGAAATGCAAGACACACAAATTTAGAGAATCCACACCAAATGTTCACATGGACTATTTGTCCCTGACCTGTGGTAGAGCATTCCTAGCTCCTATTGATCTAATCAGCCACAATAGGACACATTAACTTGACTCTAACATAGCGAGGCCATTTTGGTTCTCTTTGAGAATAAAGGACAACAACCAGACAGTGAACAAGTACGTGCTATGTGCCTGGCACTATGTTCTAAGGACAATGAAAAATAAAAGCAAAATCCAGCACCAGCCCTGGGAGAGCTCCCCAGAGACAACAAGCAAACAACTATGTTCAAACAAGATAGATAAAGGAAAAATAGACAATAATTAACAAAGAGAAGGCACTAGAATTAAGAAGGATTGGGAAAGGCTTCCTCTAGAAGGCAGGATTTCAGAAGCCAAGAGGTAGAGATAAGGAAAGGAGCATTCCAGGGATGGGCAACAGCCAATGAAGTTGCCTAGAGGAGACAGAGGATCTTGTTTGTGGAACAGCCAGCAGGCCAGTGTCACTGGACTAAAGAGTAAACAGGAGTGTGGGGGAGT